GGTATTCATGTCTACAAGTTTATTCAATTACATCATTAAATATGGCGCTAACTATTATTATTTGGTAGTCTTGGCCAAGAGCTAGTTGAGAATAGACTGGAGTTGTATCGCCGTATTGACTTAAGGTTATCATGGCTGCACGTGTACCATAGAAAGTATGGGCTGTCCAGTCCATGTACACTATCATATAACTCTGTCACTAACTGTTCTAGAATAACGTAAAGTTATATTGAGTCTTCCAAAATCCGTTTTCCTCTGAATGAAATTGTGTTCATTATAAAATTGATGACCTTTTCGTTTATATTTTGTGATTTGAGGTCATAAGTTAAAGAGCCAAACCCGCTTCGAGGGAGTTTCCTTGTCACTTTGAGGATTACGAGTAAGAACAGATTCTAACGCCTTTGAACAGTACCAGAATGATTTTAGTTTTAACAAGTTTGACCAATTTTTAAAAAAATAACTTTTTGCTACTACTTGATGTTACCGAGTTTGAAGCTTATTTTTCTACCTCATTCTGTTATAGTTTATTTTTCTTATATGCAACTAAATAAACACATACATACTTGTCATTGATCCTAACAAAGTTTAATAAATAGCTCTAATACAGTATAAAAGTGGTCTAACAACCATGAACTATTTTGTTCCTGGTTTTAAACTCTAGTAAACTTTTTTAAAATTTTGCCTGATTAGAAAACAAATCTACTAACGCAATTCAGTGAAGTAATTTTTCTCCTCGTTTCATCATAACATTCTTAATTTTTTTGTCATATAAGCAGGCAAATAACCGTGATTCTGGCATGGGTATAAGCAGTGCTGGGAGTGGCGATATTCCGTGCAGGCGTTCTCGCCGTGTTGGTCTCTCTGCGGGTGTGGGCCTGACGGGCAGCAACGGTGATGCAGTCGGCGGGCGCAGCTGCGGCAGTGGTATTGAAAGTTGCAGTGGTGAGCCTGGCGGAACTTCAAGTGGTGTTGTGGAAGGTGACAGTGTAGATAGTAATGACGCACACGGCCATATGTGTGCTGGAACTGGATTGGACTCTACTTCTGGCTCTGGTTCGCGGCTCGAAGTGGAGGATGACTGTCCAGCCTGGTCGGCTAGCCCAAAGCTGGTTTGCCCAACTACACTGACTGCACCCAATTCTTCTGCAGATGCACTATTTTCTCTCGTCTCTTTTGCTAGTAGCGCTTCTGCTGTAGCTTCTATTGCTAAGCCTTCAAGCACTAACGGCCAGTCTTCATCTGTGATGCATAACGAATTGTGCCAATTTGATAGCAAATTTGACTCTTCTTCAATTAAGGCTGATTGTAATAAAAACCGGCCGGCCTCACTTGACTCTGGGGCGGTGTTAACAGGCCTGGAAGGGGCTGATGTCGCTCAGCTGCAACCGCATCATCATCTTCAACATATTGTTTCTAATGAAGGCCTGCTGAGTGGGCACCGTATCCCTCCAGTTTGCTGCGCTGCTCAGTCTCAGTTGGTCAGTCCTGCATGTGCCCTTTTCGCCGGTCTCTCTCCGCGACGGGCCGCGCCCAATCCTATTCCCGGTTCCACCCCGGCAACGGATATCCTCCCGGCCAACCACCTCACGAGAAAGCCTGCTCATTTGCCCACGCTTCCGGGCGTCGCCCGCCTCTTTCGGGCTTCTTTTGGTGGGACCGGGATCAGCCCAAACGAGGAAGATCTTTTTGCAATACAGACAGTAGGTGCCTCTTGTCCTGCCAAACAGCAGCTTCAACATCTTATTAGCCCCCGACGAGCCTTGTTGGAAGAAGCTCCTCTTCCCAAAGTATCTTCTCCATACACTAGTCTTTCCTCGGCCCGTCTGGCCAATACCGCTTCAATCTCACCCATTCAGCCTGTCGTTAACGTGTCGCGAATCTCCTCTCCTACATCCGGCCTTGTATCAGGTCTTTCCGCCTGTGGGCTAACTCAGGTTTGTTTATGATTCGAGTTGATCCTGCTTGCAAACAATATATCTTTATTTATTAAATATATTTAATGATAAGAGCATTTACTTTGCTCACTTCGTCGCTTAGACTTCCAAAGTCCCGAACGAGCTACTAATAAGCTTCCTAGGGAACAGTTCATCATTCTGGACATCGTTTCCTTGCTCGACGATCTCATTTAAACAAAGTTCAAAAGAGAGCTCACTAAACGATCTTTAGAAAAATGATCAAAGACCTGATTTTTTAGCTTCTTCCGTTCCATGTAGGCCCGTCTCGTCTATGCTCTACAATTTCCTCCTGCACATCAAAGCACGACATCGCATTGCTTGCTACCGTAACCTAGGCTTCATATAATCTGGAGTTCACCTTGAATGGGAAACAGGATTAAATTTAGTGGGAAAGTGATGACCTATTTTTATTTTTTGTTTCATAAGAGGTTTTTAGAGACTTCCAGTAGATCTGATATAAGAGCTGTATTCACCCTATTTTTTTTAGGATGATGAAGAACTGGTAGTTGAATTTTCCCACAATTATATGGATAGTAGTTGACTGAAAATGTAAGGCCTACTCATAGTATTGTGGGAAAACTCAACTTTCAGTCCTTATCACCTTAAGCAAAATAGTGTGGTTTCAGCCTTCCTTTTATACAAACTTGAATGACCTGAAAATCAGACTCTGTCACTAAAAGTGGCATAAAACCATCGTTCTGGGACACATATAATGAATCTCTACTTACTAGAAAAAAGTTCTAATCCAACTTTTTATATAACTTATCATTATATCCTTTTACTGGAAATTTTCAATCAGAATGAAAGGATCAACAATTTCACGGAAACAATTTTTCTATAAATTTTCTGTATAATAAAATATTTTTTTTAATGGGCTGACCTAGGATTCATTATTTTTGTATAACATAACTACAGCAAATGATAGGCCGTGTGCTATTTGATAGTGACACGCCTGGGGAGTCTGATGCAACCTCAGGGAACTCAAGTCTTGGGCTTCTGCCAACGGTTCGCCGAGCAGTGGCCGGTACCACGATCGAGGAGGAGGAGGTTGATGAGGCATCCACCGCCTCTACAACCGGTCCCTCAGCAGCTGTGTCCACAGTTGAATCGGCAGCGTATAGGCCAGGCGTAATTAGCGCCGGAACAGGTAATGGAAGTGCAAAGGCAGGGTTTAACAATGGTCGGCTTTGCACCATGGCTGACCTCTCTCGACTCAATCCAAGTCTGGCTGCAGCAGTGGCTCAAATCTCAGGTGAAACAGGCACTTCAACTGCAGACCTGGTTGCAGGTCTGGCAGAAGTACGTCGAAGGCCCACTGATGCTAGAAATCGCCTCAGACGTTTGGGCGGTGTCGGCAGCCCCTCCGGACAGTCCTCGCACGGCCTCAGTTTGACCCCCACTTCCAAAACTAATACCGCCATTGCTTCTGCTGGTGCTGGAGCCGGGCAGGTCGGAGACTCCGCTTCGGCTGGCATATCAAAGCGGCTTTCTTTGCCAGCTAGTATGAATCTGCCACCACACCTCTGGCCACGAGCTACTAGGTTTCTCGGCGAGACGATGACACGTCGAGAACGCAGGCTGTCTCTGGTAAGCCAATTTGCTTAATTGTAAGCATATAGACTGCCAGTGTTATCGGCCTAATTTGGTTATCCTCAACCTCATTGTCATAGGCAGATTTGTCGATTTTCGCTGCATTATCAAGTTTTGTGTCTCTTGGTCTCTATCATATTCAAGTCACATAATTTTGGCATCGGAACTATCAGACTCATGGGATAATAAGGCAGTGGTTTGGCTGATATTCAACTTACTTCTAGCCCAGATTCTATTCACACTACGATTTGTATTCTTAATTTCTATGCTGCTTAGTTATCGTATTATTGTGCATGACTAAAACGATGTATATGCCATATAGGTGATATAAGGCTAATTGTATTTTCGCTTACGTTGTTACTAAGAGTACTAAGAAAAAATGGATAATCTAAAGTCATTTACTGTCAGATCGATGTAGTGTGGTTAATGGCGGAGATTCCTGTGATAAATTGTTGTCGTTGGTTTAGATGTGAATTTGATGCCTTAGCTTCTCTTCAGTCTACTTTCTAAATGGACTACCACTCCCCTTAACTATATAGTTATTCACTCATATTTATGCTAGCCCGTAGGGGCTTTTGATACTGTACGCTGAACTTTATTTTAGTGTTGCTTTAATCACAATATTCATGATAATTTCCAGCATCGGACTGTTGACTTGCTACACCTCCAAATGTTTCGCCGACATCGTAGTCGGCATCGTCAGTGAGAGGCGTACCGAATTTTAACTTTTCAAAGTGATAAGTTACTTGGATAAATTGTAAGTCTGTGCCTAAGCTGGCGCCTCTCACTGAAGATGCCGGAATAACGTCTAGATGTACAAATTCAATATTCCAACGTTGGAACTCACCATGGATATTATGGAAGAGGACGCAGGAAAAGGTAGATTCTACAATTTCTTAATGTTTCTCCGACCATGTTGCAAAAGAGAAGCCGAACCAATACTATCCAGCCAAAGGAGACTGCCATCAGACCTTAGGCCACACCATCTCGGTCTTCTTATATACTATATGCATTGCATATTTTCTTAATTTAAGCAAATTAAATTTCATTCAAGAAGCTGCTTGTACTTTTTCACAATTTTGTATTTTATCAATGCTACTACTCCTTTTGACTGTTAATCAAGTAAACTACTTGAGTGTTACTCTAGAACATATACTCTTATTTTCATCAGAAACTTGCTTTGGTTTATTGTCGCCTTTTCGGAGCTTTATACACTATAAATTTAACTCTTAAAAATAGAAATCGAAATCTGATTTGTTACATTCTACATGCTGCTCCGACTTTTTACTATGTGCCACCTTGAAAATTGCTTGTCTACAGTCAGGCGTGTTTTAAACTTTCACAAATTTAATATCGAGTTGATTGAAGATGAAGATTTTTACCTTGAAACTCTAATAAAAGTCTTTGAAAAAAAATTTTTGGCTAATAGTCACTATAGCATCCGTTTTTTATTATTA